TCTGTCTTGCACACAACTGGTATTCGGCTATGGAGAACCATGGGAATGTGGTGAGAATAATTTTCCTGGATTTTCGAAAAGCATTCGACCTAATTGACCACAATAAGTTACTCCAGAACTTCGAGAAAATAGGTGTTAGACTAGCATTGCTAGCTTGGCTCGGGTCATACCTCCAAGGCAGATCACAAGTTACAAAAGTCGGAAACACTTTTTCCGACCCTGCATATATTAAAGGTGGGGTGCCACAAGGTAGTAAAATCGGTCCCTTAGCCTTCATAGTTCATATAAACGATCTCCCATCAGTGGTTCAGTCATCTGATGATGAGAACAGTGATACTGTTTCAATGTTTATGGATGACACTACCATGTCTGAAGTTTTAAACGTTTCCGATCATATCTCTGGAGAATCGATCGGCAACTCCCAACGTAATTTGGAGAGTGTATTACAATTTACGAACGACGAAAATATGCAACTGAATTTAAAAAAATGCAAAGAAATGCACATCGACTTTCGTAAGAATAAAACGATTATACCCCCAACTACATTAGGGGAGCAGTCTCTCACTAAAGTAAGATCTTACAAGCTACTGGGTATCTGGTTCGACGATGACCTTAAATGGAAAACGAACACTGAGTACATCACAAAAAAGGCAGCTAAGAGACTATACTTTATGAAGATTCTAAAGAGTTATAATGCGCCAAAAGAAGCTCTGAAGACTTTCTACGTAGCAGTAGTGAGATCAGTTTTGGAATATGGCGCCCAAGTTTGGAATGGCGGGTTGACAATGGAGCAAAGCGAAGATATCGAACGAATCCAGAAAAGAGCGTTAAGGATAATTTATCCGGAACTAAAATACCATGAAGCACTAATGGAATCGAACCTCAAAACGCTAACCGACCGACGCGATGACATGTGTGTCCAACTTATTAAGGACATGTCAAACCCGAATCATAAACTTAACCACCTCTTACCAAAGAAAACTTCCCAAATAAAGCAACGAGAAACGAGAATGAATGAGGCAACGTACTATAACTTTGCATGTAAAACAGAACGTTTTAAACATAGTCCAATTGTATATGCAATTGGCAAATATAATCTTTATATTGCTAAGTAAGCATGTGGGTTTATATATTATAGTGAGTAATAACTAACATAATATAATTCTATCTGTAAATACGACAATAGTTTTAAGACTTTTTACATTGAACTAGCTTTAGGAAAGTAGAGACCATAGTATTAATACTTTTTACATTACATTTTATCATTGTAAAAGTTCCATCACTGTAAACATAACTGTATTTTAGCTTTTCAAGCTATTTAGTTAATGTAATAAACCATTATTATTATAGAAGTGGTAGCGATGATGATAATAATGATGAGTCCGATAGCCCGCGTGCAGGCCCAAGGGAAGAATAGTGGGCCTGCAAGCAAAGCCCGGTATTTTGTAAAACGCCCCTTTTCATAACACGCCCCATTCGCGCGTCAATTGTCAAAAAAGAACCAATGACGGCAACCCAAATAGTAACAAACAAATAAAATGTTGCGGGGTTTTCTCTGCTTTAATATTCAAAATAGAAACAATGTGTAAATGGCTGTGTTTTAACTCCAAAAAAGCAAGCAATGCAGTCAGTAATTGCTAAATTTGCAAGTGCTCATTTTCAACTAAAACCGTACCGGAACAGGCAAATTAGGACGAATTTCAACAGAAAACCAGTCTCAAACTTCAAATCGTGAGGGAAGTCGTGCGACCACATTAGCATTTAAGGGGCCGATTAAAGGGTTGAACTCAGCCCAGTTTACCGGATTGAAATTTCAGCCCTGTCTGTAATACAAAACTCTATCAAAATCAAACGCGCGACTACATGACAAAATTTTCAACCCAGGACTGAGTTCAACCCCGGGGTTGAACTCTGCCCTGGGTTGAAAATTTTGTCATGTAATCGTTTCAACCCAGGGCTGAAATTATCATGACTTATTAGAGCATGCGTGGTAGTGACTATTTATTACAAGAAAACAAAATAAAGGCTTTTTTTACTCCCGCAAATCAACGGCCGAGAACGTATAGTATAGCGTTTCAACCCCGGGGTTGAAATCGTCCATGTAATCGCAAAAAATTTCAACCCGGTTAACAGAGCTGAGTTCAACCCCAGGGTTGAAAGTTCTCCATGTAATCGGCCCCTAAATGTGTGCTTCGCTGTCGCCGTTGTTATAAATAAATTGTCTCACTTATCAGATCGTGTGTGTAATTCTTGTTGGCGGCGGAAAGTACGAAATTTATTTCAGTTAGTTCATTTGGTAAAGAACTCTACAAAAAAAGAGAGCGTTCAGAGTCCAGATCGTTTCGTTTCAAACGGCAATTACCGACCCATTACCGTATTCTGTTTCGCTCTCTCAGCGAAGCCTTGCAAATCGCAAAGTGTTTCGAATAGGCTTACATGCAACTGCCTTTAAATCTTCACCGCGAAAAGCGCTGTTTTCTTCCGTGCAAGAACAGAGTCAACATCAACCAAAAGATAATTTTCTTGAGGAACATATAACGTATCAAGTCTGTTTGAAATTAATGCATGAAACTCAAGTAAAGGTTACTATAGTAGTATAGTTTACCCCAGTCGTAATGTTGCTAAACAATAAACAGTCTGTTCTTGTTCCATTTTTAATCGAAAAAAGTGATCAATTTTCGAATTTTTTAGCTTATCGACAGCTTTTGTAATGAATCACCGATCTAATTATAGAATCCAACAGCAAACAGCCAATCAGAATGCCGCGTTCGTGGGCGAACGCGGAAAGTACAAAATACCGGGCCTTGCTTGCAGGCCCACTATTCTTCCCTTGGGCCTGCACGCGGGCTATGAATCCGACGGGAGTGGTGATAATTGGGAAAACTATTATGGTGAAAGTGGTAGAGGTGTACTTGGTGAAAGTGATGAGGATTGTACTGATGGGATTGATGGTACTGATGGGATTGATAGTACTGATGATATTGATGGTACTGATGATATTGATGGTACTGATGATATTGATGGTACTGATGATATTGGTGGTACTGATGATATTGATGGTACTGTTGATATTGATGGTACTGTTGATATTGATGATAATGATCATATTGATTGTACTGGTAAAAATGATGGCGCTTTTAATGATTGTAGCAGCAGTTCAGATGATATTGGTCCTTATTGGAAATCATCTACATGCACACCATACAGTACTTTGGGCCAATATGTGAATGACTAATGTGATTATTAATCTACTGTATTTTAAATGTACGCCCACTTTTTAAGATAATTTGACTGTACTGCGAATGTTGATTGTACTGCGAATAATATTGAATACCAGTGTATTTTATTTGTGTATGTGTACATTTTGCTATGATTTACTTTTAATTAATGATATTTTCAACAACAATGCAAATGCAAAATTTAAAAATACCTGCAAAATTGAGTAGGAATAAGGACATGCTTATAAACGTAAATATATTTCAGATAATTAGTCCGATAATTCACTGTTAAACTCTTGATTTTGCGATTCTTGAAACTAGTATTAAAAGTTAAAATATAAACCATGATCACTGTTTTAGTAACAACATTTCCTATAAGCGTAATATAATATAATCTGTAGGTTCAAAATAATGTGACCCTCCCTAAACATCAGCCCACCCCAAATTGAAGCTTAAAAAATCTCAGCCCTATTTTCAACCTGCGCATGCTCACCAGTACATTTCGGTGCAGTATAGGTGAAGTGGAAAACAGGCTTAACAATAAGATTGTATGGTGGATGTCTGAGATTATCTGCCATTTCACACCCGCAACACTTCTTAACATTGCACTGAATGACGACAATGTAGTAGGCAACATGGTCTCATTGCGCGCGGAATGGAACTGCGGAAGTATTGTTCAGGGTGTCCACGGGCCTTGAATATCCTGGAAAGTCCTTGAATTGGAAAAAAGAATTCCAGGACTGGAGAGTCCTTGAAAATCAGTAGAAGTCCTTGAAAGTCCTGGAATTAATTGCCTTAACCTCCAGCTGTGCCAACATTAGTGAGTTTGATTAAAATTACCGAATAAAGTGAATTATTTGCCGGTTAAATTTCACCTTCACCAAAGGGTGGACACCCTGAATTTGTTGCTGATTCCATGCTTACAGTTCAGGCGGATGAGTGAAAGGTGTAGCAAGGCCGTGAAAATGGTGGGGGAGATGCAGCGGTCTAGGTCACAGCTCCATGGAATATCAGGGCTCACAACGTACCCGCTAAAGTCAACTACGTGACGTATGCATGTACTGTACCACTGATCTGGAAACTAGCACTGGATAGTGAATGCACTATGCCTTGATGAAGCCAGTGGCGGCCATGTTGGTGTGACCAGCACAAATCTTCTGTGGTATTGCTGAAATGTTTGAAGAGCTTCAAACAGTTTTCGTTATTGTTGGGAAAGGACACGTCTAGATAGTTTTACGTCAGGTTTACGTCACTAAAGTTCAATAAAATACTCAACAGCCCCCCCCCCCCCCCCCCACACACCTAATAATTTTCCATACTTATTTTGATTTATTATATTGAGATAGATACGCTATATATTAAGCTGTGAATTAGTCATTGTATTTAAATTTCAGTGCACGTAAATATAACTTTATACCAGTGTCATGCGTAGACCTTATCCATAATTCGCAATACGCGTCCTGTATTCTAGGAAACGGGAATGAACACTGGAAAATTGGGAAAACATTTTTTGTTGCCGTCTATTTCGGCGTTTTCAACCGCGACTTGTAAATTTGCAACTTTTAATTGCATTTCTAGGTCAGAGATAACTCATTTCTAGGTCAGGGATTTCAACATTTCCCCGTGCTAGCATACCCCCTTCCCAGTAACACACGCCTTCGGCGTTCGCTCCCTCCACCTCCCCCAATCCAAAAATCATCCGCAGTCCCTGCGACGGACGCCCTTCTAGCCAAAATTACCCGGGGCCTCTCTGAGGTAGCCAGTCCGCCCCTGCACATCAGAACGCATTGAACTGTATTAGACTGTATTATAGACTGCATTGGACTCCGCTATTAGCTTATGTATCAATTGCTTCTCTCGCCTACAAGAACATTGTTGTTATTTAATTCTTAGCTCCAAGACATAAATGGTTTGTGTAGATTTTCTGTTCTTGGCTGCCTTGTTCTTTCCAACAATTGCTTGGACTGGAGTGATCTCGAAGGTCTCCATCAAACACACATCTTAGAACTTAGTCTTCATGGAAATCCAAGGCTCGAGAAAGATCCTTATTGTAAGTTCACGAGAATGACGAGTTTAGAATTTAAACCTTGTATAGATAAACGTTTTATGCTGTGGAGAATCTTACGCGGATCTACCAGTGACGGTAAACATGCAAACACTCTCGGGCACATTCAGTCGTCAGGACAGGTTAGATAACATCTGGGGCCGGTTGTTCAACCGACAGTTGCCAGACAGTTGCTGCGTCAGTTGCCAGATAATATACATCAAAGTGCAATTTATTGTAATTCTCCTGTTTTACAGTTATGACGTCATAAGGCGCCTGGGAGAGTTTTGCCCCGGGTCCCGCGCAACCTTTTGCGTAGAGGGTGTCCATTATCAGCCTCGCCCCCAGGCTCCAACTCAGACGCGCGGGTTCCGACGCAAGCAGTGGACGGCCCTGGATTATCAAGTACTGGCACCTTTATCATTTTTGGCAGTTTATATCCTGGATACTGTAGGGTACAATAACAATCCCATTTGGAGCCATAATGTAGGCAGGTATGCATCTCCTCTGAAGTCTCTGTATAGTAGTGTCTCCTTTCCTTGTAGCCTGTTATAATATATTGTCCATTTTATTGTAATTTTGCCAGATCGAATGCATATCATTGATTGTCTTCCTTTGGTATGGATGCTGGATGGCAGACTCATAACATGTAAGCATTGAAAAACTCTGCATGATCATAATAGAAATCGTTCTTCAGCAGCAGGATGTTGTTGCTTCTTTCGATTTGTTTTTCAGTTCAGCTGTTTAATGAAATTATTTTTTTCAAGTTTTGCTTTCACCTGTGGGTTAAAAGCTAACAAATTAATCCCCGTATAGTTTCCTCCGCAGGCAATCTCAGATCTCTCTAGGGGTTATACGTATCACAGACACCTCTATAGAACACCGCGGAAAAACGTCTGCGCATGCACCAAATTATGAAAATATGGCGGGGAATTTGAATATCAATTTCTAAAACAAAAACATGCTTATTAATTGGTCAAAATTAGTAAAACAAACGAGAAAATATAGCAAATGGGTAGACTAGACATTAGTTGAAAGCGTCCTGTCATTTAAAGTATGCAATGAAATATAATTCATGTAAAAAATTGTTGATTTTAACGGACACGACTTCGAAAATTTTTGCAAAATTATTCAAAACAAAAATTCAAACTCAAAAGTTAAGAAAACTCTCGAAAAGTTAAGCTTCTTAACCCACTCAAATTGTAGAATAAATCCTAAAGTTTAATTATTGTGAACACGAAAATTTTTTATATTTGGCGACACAGTTTTTTTTAAAGAAATGTACTCAAACGAAAATTCGGAAATTGTCGTTGCTTAGTTGAGTAAACAAAATGTTTCAGACGATAAATTTGTCAACAATCACCTTTAGTTCATGTTCTTGTACAATACAATTTCTTGAACCTTCTGGCTGTATTTATTCCTAGTTTTTAGAGGTAAGGTTGGTTAGATTACAGGTAAGGTTGACGCATGCGCAGACTTTTTCCGCGGTGTTCCTCTATAGAGATGCCTGTGAGGAGGCTTTGACATTCCTGAATTCATTATCAGTGAAAATAGCATGGTACTGAACATGTATAGACTTGGAAGATATAGTGTATATATGTATTGTAGCGACTTCTATAGTGTTACCCAGCACATAGTTTAAACGTTTTACAGTGGAGGGTCAAAACCAAGATTAGTGCCCAGTGTGGGCTTCGCAGAGTAAGATTTAGGTCATCAGGTAAGGTTAGGTCCCAGTCTGAGCTATACTAACTACAGAAAATATGCCTTGCTGTTACCCAAATACACAGAAATGTTATCGTTTTCATTTTTAGGTTTGCATGAGGGGGTGGGTCACTGGTCCTGGTGTGTAGCAACCTCAAAAATGCACTTTGTATTTACAAAAATATAGTGGGTGTTTATGATATTGATATGGCACACTTCGACCCATGATGAACATTGCATTTTATTTCTTTATCATCTATTTTGATTTGATATATAGCTGCAGAAAGACAGCAAGTACGAAAGTTCTTCTCCGAAAGTGAACTAACAGAACGTCCTGTGGTAAGATTCATACTGCATTAGAGATGGATCATCCGCCTAATAGATAATCCAAGGTTGACGAATCTTGGTTCTTACATATTTTTTTTATATCTTTTTATATTATGTAACAAGCTTTTTGGCAAAAATCTTGAGTCCTTGAATCTTCTTTTATTATTCTCCACTTTGAAGTTGTGAATTTTAACATGACATTTGACATGAATTAGTCCATACAGGGCGTGAAATAACGGCTGGAGGGACGCCGGTCAAGGTGACCGGCCAACTCAATTTTAGCTCGGACATACCGTATTTCTGGCCGGTCATATTATTGTAAATTCAAATGATGACATTATTCTGGAACGTTGTTTGAAGTTATCATTACATATGACGTCATCAAAGTTTAGTTCAAAGTATAGCTCAATCCTCTATTGTAAAAAATCTTATTATATTAATATAAGAAATAAGAAATAAGAAGATTATATCTATAACACTGAGATAATCCGTACTGCCGTTTGTAGTGTGAAAACCAACTCACTGGCAACATTGGTTGTGGGGTCAAATCATGCTGATAAATTGTCCATATATTTAATTTCATTTGATTCCTTATTGATGCACTATAACGGATTATTTATTTGTTTAAACCGACGAGTATATTCTGTGTCGTTTCTTTGCCGAAATTTGTTCAAACGGATTGTTGATCTCTACTACTGTATAAATTTGACAATAATTTTTCATAGAGTTACGTTATTCAAATTTCTACTTATTTTCGTCTGAATTTCTTAGCGTCACAAGATATCAAGGAAGAAACGTTTCACTCCAACTCCTCTGCAAAATCTTGCAGTGACTGGTGTCTTTGGTGAGAAGGTGAATATGAATTCATACGATAGTTCCCCTACAAAATGTCTAATTTGTATTTTGTGATACTTCATATTTTAAGTAAAATCCCAAAAGGCTATTCGCAACATAAAGTCAAGATGCATTAGAATTTGAATCAGCATAAGGACCTATTCAGAGATCTGGCAGGGGGCTCTAACGTACCGAATTGAGTAGAGTTGATCCTGAACTACTACTTTGCTATCGCAATAATATTATTTAGTTAGGCTAATTATACATTACAAGAATGTCTTGTGTCTCTAAATATGAATTTACTTTGTGCTCTCACTAGTTTGCTTAATAAATCAATGCACGAGTCCCAGTTCCTCTTGGGGACAAACAACTACCTAATAGCTATACTTTTACCCTAGTAAATGACTGGCACGAGCCCGAGTACTGATAGGGAGGACTGCAACTAGCAATGTAGTGCACAGTAGATTCACAGTAGAAAGTTTTAGATTTGACGAGTACGACGTAACGACCACTGCATAATACGAGATTCTTTGTTTGGATATACTCGCCATCTTCTTGCGCCAGTACGCACGCACGCCATAATCTCGTAGTATATAGTAAATTACTTTGTTTTAGTATGAGTCTTTTCAAAAAACCCGTTGTCAATTAACGGCTACGGGATTTATTATATGATGACGTATCCAAATAAACGAATGTCCTAGTTATACTCGTGGTTTAATTTAAAGCTCTCTATTATTAGCAAAGCGACAACCCAGAACGCTGGGTATGCAAATTGCAGATCGAGTTAACTTTAGGTTGACAATATACACTCACTCTTTTGTTTTTATTCCATAAATAATATACTGTCAGTATACTGTAAATAATATATATTTAAAATCTTGTACTGTCCTTTTCACAAGCTGGGTCTGCATATTTTTCCCATAGACTGAACACTGGATGAAGAGATTTTCTTTACACGAGAAATTAACGCAAGGTAAAGTACTGTTAAACTTTTACCGCGGTCATTGGAAATTACTCGGTGTTCACTATAGTTCTCAGTATATTTTATATCACTCATCGTTGATTTTTAGAGATTTTATGTATGACTTGAGCGGTGTAGATTCACTATGTTGATTGCGTTCACGCATTCCTTGCAACGAGAGCTGAAGCGAACGACATTTTTTATCATTGGATTAGATTAATGACGAATGTTATCAGTTAAAGTTGTCATCAGATGACGTTTCCATGCACGTATTTTTCAAATAGCATGCAATGATTCGCAATCGCAAAACACCTGCCATGGCGTAGCGGTAGTTACAGGTTTTTGGCTGAGTCGGACTTCGGTATCGCATATACTCTGTGGCTAAATTATGTACGCATGATGTCCGTGTTGTGAAAAACTTCGCTTGCTTAATCAGATTTCTATAATAAAAGACTAAAATATCTCTTCACTGTATATTACAGATAGATTATTACCATTCAGTTAAACTTATTGTTATAATGGCAATAATCTGTCTATAAATATACTGTACAGTGAGGAGTCTTCGCCAAAGAAAATAAGTATGATTGTCGACGATGCATTTCCAGGATTATTACAGGGGATAAGATGTTTCCGAGAAATAACGGGCTTTTTGCCTGAACGTATATCTGCAGGATGTTGATATTACCGTTTAGCGCATTCATATCTTACCTTCTATCGCGTTCTATACGTCTCTGCGGAGGAGAGAGATGTTGCCGAAAGGTTTGTGTGAACCACAATAAATAAACTTGATATGTTTCTTCGGGATAGTTCCATAAGGTCTCTGGAGTTCCAGTAAGGCCCATTTCTTATTGGTCCAGTTTTACTGCAGGAGGAAACCGGAATACCTGAAGAAAAACTACGACCAAAGTCGACCAAGGCGTTATAAAAGAATGCATGTAGGAATTGAACCAATGCAGCCCCAGAGGTGGTGGCATTAACTACTCACTCACCAACACTCCCATGTCTCCGTGTTTCGTTATAATCCATTCATTTGTTTTGTTCATTCGCGTTCTTGACTTTGAACACAAGAGTAAACTCTAAATTGATATCGTAAATAATTTCCATTCAACAGAACTGGACAGAAGACGACTTCGTTACTTGGCCTTCAATTTGCAAGAAGAATTTCGTCTTCAATCACAATTTTCCAACAGCAATGAAAGGTGTAGATTGAAACTGTGTTATCATTTTAAAAAATAACAGTACATTTAGGGTTACACTTACATGCTTAATATGTTTTCCCGTTTCTCTATCGTCTTGATCACAGTCACAACCCTATGCTAACCTTGTTGTGCGCGAAACATGACATGACGCAATACATGTATAAAATAAATGATAAATTTGAAAACGGTAGGCCACATAAAAAAAATAGTTGGTTAGCGTCCTTAGCTTTTGCCAAAAAGTGGGCGGGCGGGCGGGCGGGCGGGTTTTTTAAAATTTTTACTAATTTTTAACGCCTTGGTTTTAGGTCCGAAACTGGATTTTCATGCGCAGTACAGATATTTTTTTATGTATTTCAAAATATGATTCATACCGTCATTTTCGCACGCAATTTCGCCACTTATTAACACAATCGACTACAGTCAACAGAAATACTACATATATTAGAGCCCATTGATCAATAAAAGTTGTGTTTTTTTTAAATAAAAAATTTAAAATAATCCTGAGCGGGGCCTTTTTTGTGGGCGGGCGAGGACGCTAACCAACTATTTTTTTATGCGGCCTTAGAGAAAAAATATAGGCAAACAAATATCACATCCGTGCTTGGCTCAATATATTACGTACCGCAACCTTCAGCAGAGCATTGACGGACCCTTTGACATGAACATCGTGAGTCCGGAATAAAAATGGCACCCACAAGGTGTACGTCATTTGTGCTGACAGCTGGGCTTCTTGTCATTAAATTTAATTGCTATCTTTTGAACTAATATTGGTGAGCTAACGTTTCCCGTACATACTTGTGGACGTGTTGTGTTTCAACAGGAAAACAGATGAAGAAATATTTACAGCAGTTGTTGAGCAACGAGAAAATGACAGGGAAAAAAGTAACATGTTGTTACTTCTTTTAGTTGTAAGTATGCTCTTGCATTGCTTTTAGTTCTAAACGCCTGTTTACACTTGCAATTTTTGCTGCGATTTTAGGTGCGATTTTCGTCTTCTGATGGATGTGAACGAGTGGATGAATACGAATGTTCTGAGTATATGTTCCTTCATCTCAACATTCGTAACTTATCCACTCGTTCACATCCATCAGAAGAAGAAAATCGCACCTAAAATCACAGCAAAAATGCAAGTGTAACTGAAACCTTAACTGTTCACCCTGTGAATGGTGGGTCTAGTATTCAGAGTCAAACTGAAAGCACGCTTCTCACATGCGAGTCAGGTGAAGCGAGGTTGCAGAAGTGAAATGCACTACTATACAACTGTTTTCACTGACTTCCATTATAAGTTACGGCATATGCTGCATCTATACTGCAGTTATAGGAAGCTGCCTGAATATGTACTACTTGTACAAATTATTGTTTAATATTCAGTTGCTTGGGTGCACTATTGCATAGGCCCACCAACGTCGGCTTCGCCGTTCCTCATCAATGGTATAATCAACAACGAAAGCTTGTTCCGTAACTATAGTCACATAGCCATTGGCTAAACAGTTTTTCTGTAGTACTCCTGTCACAGTTTAATTAAAAATACACTCTCATACATCAACACATATTCTGTATAATCGAGGAAAGCTAGCTAGGAAAGCTATAATGGTAGAAAATATTCTTGACTATTTTAGTATGTTTGATTTAAAATGAAATACCTGTTTAAATGCAGTTTTGGTGGAACGAACAGGTGCATGGGCTATTGATAGTAGTTATAGTTACTGATTTCAATTCTCCCAAAGTTGCCGCCATAGTTTGGCGCAAGCTTCACCATGAACCAAATGTCGCAATACAATAAATACATGTTACTAGGTATATATGCAATAATACGAAGACGAAAATTTTAATATTTGAATTTTTTGGACAAATCGTTTTGGTTGAAATTGAATCCTAAATTATTGAAAATAATTGTTTCTGGAGTGAACTTTTCTTTTGGACTTGTTTCATTTTGAATTATTACTTTGAAAACACAATCTCAAAGAAAGGATATTTTCAATTGTCTACATACTGTCCTAACGTGAATAATTTGAATTTTCTTTGCAGGCTGCGCTAGAATTTCATATTCCTGAGCAAGTTCTGCAACAAACACTAGATATTGCAAAGTTAACTAAAATCGGGCAAGTATCCGCAATATATATAATCAATATAAATATTCAGAACCATCTGTTACTGTGTTAGCATTAAATATCTCTCCAATGACATTGGATTTCAGATATGTTTGTTTAAGTGTTAAGGATTCTCCTAATTATGGTGAAGGGATTCACCTAAAAACGGATATTCTGAAAGTTGTCTTTAAAGCCTATATCTTAAAAGTATATGTTTTGTAACATCACATTGAATTATACTTTATGACCATGCCTATGGATAACTTACATATACATACAGTATTGCTGAATGCCAAAAAATATTTACTTCGAAAAGTGAACTGGAATTTGACTGGAATGGGCATCAAGCTTGACTAAGACGATCGCCCGTATTCTAAAAGCTCACTCACACTCACACTCAATGAGTGGAGGTTCAATCTGAGCTTCTCTTGAGTGTCAATGCTGTTTTTTGAATAGCTGGATGGTTAGTGTCGTACCTTACTATGTGACTACTCACCCTCCAGCTATTCAAAAACAGCATTGACACTCAAGAGAAGCTCAGATTGAACCTCCACTCATTGAGTGTGAGTGAGCTTTTAGAATACGGGCGGTAGTCATGTTTCATTGTGGACAGTAAATTTTATGATTGCTCTTCAACACTTTGAATAATAAAGATTGTTTGCATTAACTATACAAGCACGAGCTGAAGGGGAGTTCAATGAAATGACCAATTTAGTTTACAGGATGCTAACTAGTTTTAAGCACTTATGGGTGGTATAATATTGTTGCTGCGTGCACCTCATTAAATATTGGTTTTCTGCCACAGGTCACATAATACAAAGGACTTATTTTTATTACCAAAGAAACAACAATGTTCTATGGCGTCCTTACTTCTGTCCGGAGTTAAAATTGATCGCGATGCGAGGCGTGTAAGTATGTTGGTAATCTTTATTTTGTTTATAAGCAAGATAATCATAATCTGGTCTCTCTAGTATTCATATTCCCCCCACCAAATCTTACCTTTCTACACACCTTTCTGCTGTCTTCACACCGTACGTGTTTTCTACTTCCACATGTCATTGGCAGACGATGTCGATCCACCATCATACTGTTGTTCCATTTCGTTCATCACCTCCATTCTAAAATTACTTCTAGTCAAGTGGGTCTTTGCTATCCTGATTCTCTGTTGAAACAAACCTCTTTCTCTCCAACTTCTGAACATCAATTTTTGCATCTACTGGTTTGTGCTGTGTTGCTACAGTCGCTGATGGTATCACTTTACAGTATACATTACTGTGGATATGATCAAATGCCCTTTACATCAAGTGTTATGCTTACCTAATTACACATTTAGCCTAGATTATTTTATCTTTACAACGATTATGATATTACTTTCCTAACTGTGTTTATCCTAACCCTCCCTGCCAACTTTCCCTGTGGAAGGAAACCGGAGCACCCGGAGAAAACTCTGATCTCGGAGGTGAAAGGCGCTTCCTCTGACCATGGATAATAAAATAAATGGATTGGAAACTTCTGACGTCATTGACTGCATCCTTGTTGAAAAACGTGACGTCACGCGTATTGCGAATGCTACCAAAGTTATCGGCATATTTGTTGTTTTGCTATATTTTCCACTTTAAAAAGGTGATCTTGAAGCATAAACTGGTCTATAATTGTTTTAAAAACATGCCTAAGCCACGACAAAGTATTCAAGGTAAATGTTTTTCGTCTTTGTTTTGTATTTTTTTACATTTGTAGCTACGAAATTGGCGTCACAAATTTTAACGAAATTTGCGATGTATTTTTCACTGTTTAGTCCTTGAAATATTTGCTAAAATTGACTGGGAATACTTAGAGTTTTCATCGTAGAATGGCGTGGTTACATTTATTTGCTATTTGACTAAAATGTTTAGCTGTATTATTGCTAAACATGCCGTTTTTGAGAATTTGATTTTCAACTAGGTTGAGGCATCCAACCACGCCATCAATCCCAGTAAAAACATTAGGTCATGTCAGCTAGTTTCCTATCCATTTATTTTATTATCCATGCTCTGACATACCGCGCCAACGAAACCCTAAAATTTATGCTGCTGCCTGCTGGTTCAGCGTTGGGAAGGAGGCGGCTTACTGCTATATTGTGTACCGCTCCACCTGCAATGCTGCTTCAAGATCATGTGCTGCAAAAAATAAATAGAAATTCTTAAAAGGTAATACAGGAGTTTAAATGAGAAGAGAATGATAAAAGAAAGGAAAAGAGGAACGTGGAAGAGAACGGAATACAGGGCTGCAAATAAATATTTGACTTGACAGGACATTTGTCCGATCACTTCTAATTTTGGTCGGACATAACTTGAATTTGGTCGGACAAAAACCAACACCACTAAATTTGGTCGGACATGTACTGTATAGTATACGTCACAAGATATATATAAGTCACGAGACAAGTATGTATAGCCATTCCGGCGCAACGTTAAGTAAAATGCTAGAATGCCTCGCAAATTTTATTGAAAAATGCAAATTGAGTGAATTTGCAATCGGATTTTGTCACAGCAAAAAAATGTATAATGTGACAATTTTTTTTTGTGATCGGACCAATGTCCGATCAAAATTACTTTTGCTCGGACATTTGCCAAATTTAGGCGGACATTGTCCGATGTCCGACAGTAATTTGCAGCTCTGGAATAGCAATGGAAAGTTTATTTAAATAATTATTTTACACTTTTTATATTTCTATTATTCCATATCAGGATGATGGACTTTACGACTGTCTGTATCTATGTTTGTACGACCTCGTTTCTGAATGGCATAAATTAACGAATAACCATAACATCCCGAGGTAAGGAAACTGTTTGATATGCCTTTCCATTAATTAATTTGGATGTTTTAGGAAATTTTTGCGCATTTCAACTCGTCCTATTTTAGTAGAAAATTACATTATTGTTATTGCCGATGTTCTCTATATGTATTTTGCCATTGTTATGTTTATTAAAGGAAAAGTGGAGTGAGAAATATTTTGGCAGCTGAGGTTGTGCAGTTGTTTTGCATTGTCCCAGCATTTCTTATGCTTCTTGAGAAAGATACAGGTACAGCCCAGTTTGTGTGTTTCTTTCAGTAGCGTGTTGAAATAAAAGTCTGTATAGGATTTTATTGGGACGAAATTCACTCTCCAACACAGGATCACTATTCAACCTCGCAAGCCAGGCTTTCCGGTTCCCTCCCAAACACGCTGCAGCGTAAATACGTTCCAGCGTAAACACGTTCCAGCGTAAACACGTTCCAGCGTAAACACGCTCCAGCGTGTTAGGGAGGGAAGCGGAAATAGAGAGCCTGGCTTGCGAGGTTGGATCACTATTATTGTGTATTTTATTGATGATATGTTCTTGCTCCAAGAACAGGGTATAACCGAGACAGAGGGAGCAGGATGCATTTTACCCTTTCCCAATTAGCCTTTCTCACGCGGGCCAATATCCATCATTTTTGGGGTCATTTTTCGAAACTGAAAATTTTTCTTACTGTCTTCCCTCCTCAAAGAATCTAGACAATTAAAACAACAAGCGACTTTTCAGAGTTGTAACTGTAAAGTTACCATTATACACACAACTACAAAGTCGCATTTCGCGGTGCGCACACACTCAGACCTGAGAGAGGCAGTACCATCCCAAAAATGGCGGATAAACCGAGCGCGCGAAAGGCTAGTTATGACGTTACAGGTCCCCCATGCCCCCGGGAAAGTCTAGATCCGGCCCCCGCATAACCTCTCGGCGACCCTTTGTTTTGGTAGCTCTCGCCACCAACTGTGATGTTTCAGTGACGGTGTTCATTGAATCACATATTAACATTGTGCAAGCAATCACAGAGGCAGTACTTTATAGAAGATAACTACTGTACTAGAAACCACTATTGATAACCAGATAACTACTGCAGTTACGCTGCTTGTACATGTCGGAACCAGCTATCCAGCCCTTGCGAGTGACGTCACAACCGCTATTTTGGGTGGCAAATGTTTAGAGCTAGATGACATACACAGCATCCATTAGCCTTCAAAATTTCACAGATTTACTAATCGGTGGAGCTCCAATATTATCTTGATTAATACGAATTCAGAAAGGCAATTTTTTGGCAAATTCACGCAGTCAGTCGTTTCCTTTGCAGTCTGTCATTTTTGCCACCCAAAACCGCGTGATTTCTTAACGTGACCTGATATTCGCGCGTGACTGCAAGACGTAACTGAAGAAAATGTCTTGAACTGCACACAAAAAATGCCTTACAGTAATTTTAGTGTATTTGTCAATCAAATTGAAAAGTGTTTTACATGATCTTTTATTTGGAAGGTTTGTTAGAGCTTGTATCATCAGCAACAAAAGAGCCTGATATTGCTGAACAGTTGTACAGTCTGGTAGCGGAAGAAAAAAGTAAAGGAGTAAGTCGGATATTTATTGTTTGTAGCTTGGTAGCGTGGTTTTATACTTCATTTCAGAGTTTCGATTTCTGATTATAATTTTGCCTGAGTTGACATTCGAGATGAGTGATTGCAGTTTGACTCTTCCAAACACCTTGGCCAGCTGCGCCTGAGTGCAGGTTACAGCTTAAACTAAACAGATCCTGATCCAGGGTAGCAAGCACCCAAGCTTTTAAAATTATTTTTTCAGAATAGTGTGCACAAATTTTTAATGAATTATATTTGCAATAATTCTCGTAGATTTATTGCCCGTCTTCGCGCTAATGCCATTCTGTTATTAAAAAAACGCCAAACTGTCCAAAACCTGGCAAATTTTATTAAATTATTAACTTTGTGTATTCCGAATAAGAGGCGAAATTTTTAGACGTAAAATGAAAAATACAGGAAATGGATATGTCACATGACTGCATTTACTTTTTCACGGTAATTATATAAGGTATCTGCAAGTGACAATGACCTGGCTTGTCACAACTCATGGCCAGATTTTGAGGGGAGGTGTGGGGAGGTCGGCACCTCCCCTGAGATCGTTTTGCACCTCCCCTGAGATTTTTTGCACTTCCTCTGAAGTCGTGCACCTCTCCTTGGGAAAGTTTAAATGATAGATCAAAGTGAAATTTTTATACGTTGCGTAGAGTCTACACTTGAAAACTGAACTGATAACTATTCATCATCTCTGTATCAAGTGCCCTTTTAATGGAATATTTCGAAATAAACTTTGTAGTAATGCAATGAAAAGCAATATTGAATGGGTCGTACAGTCAAAATTCATAAATACACTGATACATATGTACAGTACATGCATACGTCATGTACTTGACTTTAATAGGGGGCTACAATCTAAGTCCTAACATTCCATGGTGGTCGTGGGCTAGACGCTGCACCTCCCCTAAAAATATTTTCACCTGTCCCAGCATTTCCACCAAAATCCGGCCTTGTTACAACCATGTGGCAGTCAGGTATTGCATTATTTAACTTTCTAATGTTAAATGATTCTCAAAAACAAGATCGTGTAAATGCAAGGATTAATTTAGATTATAAATTCACTATAGACAAAGCCTGGTGAACTGTTGCAAGAAATGGGTTCGTACATACTCAAGAAAGTGCACATGAAATGTTTTCAATTTCTACACAAACCTGGAACTAATATTCTCCCCGAGAAACCAAACCCGCCTTTAAGGACTTCGAGTTATACAAAATCCGTAAGTAAAATCATTGCCTGCAAAGCAGGCGCTTGCCTGCTGAGTTAGAGTAATGACTTCAGTCAATGCCCGGTTGGCCTTCAGTTAATGCCTTGCCTTGCTTCACTTACATAATTATAACGAACGACTGCACATGAAGAGGACTAAGATATGACTTTGGCTTCATTTTCAGCATGGCTGCAGATGTTGGGGAGTCCTGCATAGTCTAACTCCAAATTCAAAACGTGCGCTTCAAAATTTCAAAACTTGTTGAATTAGCCTTTCTCACGATGACGAATATCCGCCATTTTTGGATGGCATCTGCATGTGATTCTCGTTAACCAATGCAGACAATTAAAACAATGTGAAAAGCAATTTTGTAAAATAAACTAACCATTTACAAAGCAAATTTACCATCATTCGTCCAGAAAATGATCAAAAGTCACTGTTATGTGGACTTATCTCGCAGACTTCGGCAGAAAAGCCACCGAAAAATGACGGCGTGAGAAAGGCTAATTAAGTTTCTTGACGTTACACAGTCACAGGCCAACTTGAAAAATCAAATGGAGGCAGTGCAGCTATAGTTACCTAAGAGTTATCTAATATTTATAGTTATCTAAGTTATCGCAGACTTGGGCAGAATAAAGCCACCCAAAAATGACGGCGTGAGAAAGGATAATTAAGTTTCCTGAAGTTACACAGGCCAAGTTCAAAAATCAAATGGAGGCAGTGCAGCTATAGTTATCTAAACCTGGAGTTATACTGCATGGTTGACAACTCGAAATATCCTTGGTTACCTCCAAAACTGAGCCATGCACCTATAGTTCTTCTCATATAAATACTATTTTTAGACTGAACTCAATATTGAACATTTTCACTGTAATTTGACATTCACCGTGAAACAATTGGTACCTGGAAACAGTTTGACAAAGATTGAAAATTAGATCAAATTGATTGAAATTTTAGTCTTTGGAATGAAGAGCTTGCTCTATTACACATTAAATCTTAGAAAACAAGCTTTCTGGGACGAAGCGCTTATCCAGTTTTCGTATATATTTAGCTGAACACAAAGAATGAAGCACCACAGCGTTCCCAGTCTGCATCAGGCTTTACACGACGGCAAAATATACCCAAAACTAAACAGTAAGTTTCCATATATATATTGTTATGGACTATACTATACGTTACAGTCATTGCATGTGTACTCGCAGGTCTGGTGTACACACTAGCTTCTATAGGCGACTGAGATTATGCATGGCTACCAGTTATGCCAGGGAAGGGGAATGCATGTTATTAATCAATGGATTTGTATCCTATTGAAGGGGATCATGTTATGTGGTATCAAGTTTCTGGACGTCTCGCTCGATAGAACTAACAATTCGTCCATTTTTCGCAGCTATCCTCCTAGTTAGGTCTGAAAATTGTATTGAATTGCTTGAAATTTCCATCTACAAAAATCCTTCAACTATGAAGTATCAAGTGCATCACAGTGCATATATACTCTGTTCCACGTCCATTTTATCCAACATCTGGACAACGGACAATTATGATATTTCCTACAAGCATTTTCTACGTTTTATTATCGTAGTGATATCACAGGAAAGAAGATTAGAACATCTTTGTCTCCTAACGTGAAGTCATTAGAACGGTTACCAGGTTTGTGATGTATCAAGACATCTTGTCTAGATATCGTATAGTACGTATGGATAGGTTACCGATAATGCGGCTAATTTCTTGTCAGATATAACAGTATAAAGTGTCACATGTTAGTAGAAAAGTAATATCATTTGACTGTTTGATAACCATGCACAATCATGTATTTTTAGCATTGGGGGATCAAGTTATAACAAGTGATCAGGTAAACGAAACTTGAAGCTTCCCAATTAAAAGTATTTAATGATATACTTTGAAAATAATTCAATTTGAAATCAAGCTCTTCTTGGTTCCATTGACACTATATAGTACAAGAAGATGTTATGTCCTTAAGATTTTCTCTTCACTCTAGAGTTGTGGCCATATTGCAGCCATGCCCGAGAAGAACATTGTTTTAGTAAAGTTGGATAGGTTTCCAGGTAAACATTCTTTTGAGTAGTACATTGGCTCAACCAGTGCTGCGAGTAACGTCGTTACAAGTAACTAGTTCCATACCATCGTTACTTTTTTGAGGAATTGTAACGGTAACTATAGTTAGCTACCTTTTGGGAAGGTAACTTGTAGCGTAACTATAGTTACAAAAATTGATAACTAGTTATATTCTGGCCCCGAGAGAACTGTTACTTTTGGCGATATCCAACGTACTAAAAAGCTGTTTTATCCCACATTTCGGCTACGCAAAGTTGTCGCTCACTATTGCACCCACGGGTTCGAATATTTTTCATTATGCCGTTGCAGTGCTATAGATATCACTGTGCCAGATTTTCATCGAACTGAATTCTTTTTCTGATTAAATTAAACAATTTTTTCGTCTAATTCACTTCGTGTTGACAATTGACATAACTCAAAGCATAAATCGTAGTCTGACATTATAATATATGTTTGACATAAGTATCGCAGCAATTTTTTATGATAAAGTTTCGTAATTAGTAACCATGCACTTTACAAAAAGTTATATAAATGTAACTTAAAATAAAATAAAAGATAATAAAATAAAAATAAAACAGATGAGCTGAGGGAAACTATTTATTAAGTGTTGTTACGGAAGCGAGCCAAGATGGCTGATTTTTCTTGTGTAAACACAAAGTTATTTAAACCGCGCCATACCTGGGAGTTATGAGGGTCGTGCGAAATAAAATAAAAAACCAAATAAAAAACTCTTTTGAGCGGGAGACTTACAGCAAGTGTAGTTCGATTCTTGTAGGAAGGCATTTAAAATATTACATTTAAAATATGCTTTGCGCTCGAATTTCCATGTCCAAAAACCCATTAACTTGTAGTTCTCTTAAACTTAGTTGTACCTGTTTTTTTCAGCTCATGGTTTGCAACAGTTAAGCATGAGGAATAGAAGGGCGGATAATGGTAATCGCTTTATTTATGTCAACAAAGAATTGTTAGTTTGGAATTGTCAAGGTTATTGGAAAGTTCGGGAAACAACGAAAGGTTTGTGTTACTCCTCTTCACATTGAAATGTTAATGTGTTTATTCGTTTTGTGAAGCTACAATAGTATTGCTACTGTAACAGAAACGCTGAGTAAGTAGTGTGATTTAGTGTGAAGTAAATCTGCACAAAAAATCAGGGACGATCATGCGACTGAGATAAAAATAGCGCATACCTGTATAGTTAACATTCAACTTGAAGTTCAGTTATAATATTTCATGCAGTGGTAGTGGTGCAGAAGCTTCCTGCAAAGTTAATGGAGCTTCGGTGGTGCAGTCGTCAGAGCATGCGCCTTTCACCTCTGAGACCGTGGCTTCGATTCTCGCTACGGACTCATATGAAAAGAGTCAGTCAACGCTTTGGCGAAAGTCGTGGGTTTTCCCCGGTTTCCTCCCACAGGGAAAGTTGACAAGGTGGGTTGGGATAAGCACAGCTAAGAAAGTATAATATCACAATCGTTGTAAAGATAAAATAGTCTGGGTTAAGTATGTAATTAGGTAAGCGTAATACTTGATGTAAAGCGCATTTGATGATATCCACATGTAAATTTGCGCTATAGAAATGTTAAGAGGAGATTTTTTTGTGTGTTACGTAACACGCGCTCAAAACTAATGCGTATAATATAGCACTTGAGGTTATGACTAAATTCAAAATTTTTATTTTTCGATAAGTTTCTCAATCGGCAAACAAACTTAAAAAGTATGTTTAGTGTTTTATCTGTAAAATAATGCTAAAATGAAGAGATTTTAGACTACGCCAAAGAGAAAATTATGTCTGAAGTTCAGTAAGTTTTGCTTATAGGCCTATGGCTTAAATATGGCGTCAATTTTAAAGCATCATTGATAATTGTATTTTAATTGACAATTTTTAACTATTATTTTATGTTTCTCAACCGGCAGATGCATTTAAAAAGGTAGCTAACTGTATAAACTAGAGAATAAAGCAAAAACAAAGTGATTCTGAGAGGAACGCCAAGGAAGAGGAACGGTTTTGAACATTTTTCATTGCAAATACGTGACATTGAAAAAAATTGCCTCTTAATCTTAATCTTAAAAATCTGGTTCAGCGGTTTGGTGCGGTAATGAGTAGAATATTTGAAAATGCTTTTAAAATAAAATCTACATATTATCGCATATCGTGTCTTCTTGTTGATTACCCGAACCTTGAGTGCACATGCAAGATGCTTCTGTTCGAAGTATGTGTTGTATATATATTATATTTCTTCAACTTCTCGGCTGGAATTAGAGTTTCTCGCTGGCTGAAGTATGAAAGAAGCGAGAAACGGATTTCTCACGCTGGGGGAGGGGGGAGGCGCATGTCCTTATAGACATGGGCACACAGTGTATAGCATTCTTGTCTTTTTGCTGCCAAAGTGCAAGTCACACCCTTCCCAATAATTGTAGAACACATTGATATTGTTTACTTAATGATAGGATTTCACCATATGTATTATAGTATTGTAGTTGTGGTTGATAGTTATAATAAAGGCACTGCTGCACTTTGCGGTAGTAGACATCTCGGCAACCCAGCGTGAGAAATGGATTTAAGATGTTTATCTTCGTGGTAGTCAGTCACAATGACTGATCTACGGGAAACAGTCTCGTTCCCAGTCGCTTTAAGTGACTTCCAGATGGGTGGGGGGAGGTGCATGGTTTGCTGATTGTCTTGCATCGCAGCAAAGCTCTTTCCCCAATCATTGATCTATATGTCTCACTAATATGTGCTAAATAACAGCCTGTGAAGGAGGCAGTACGGGGAGCTCTGGCTTGTTGCGCAATAAAGGGCTCTAATTTTTCAGTCGTATCTCCTTCATACCGGCTGCGCCTCTGTTTGTTTTCACCACTACCTTGCACTGGCTCTAATATGAGCCTTCTGACTTATCTGGTTAAAAATAATCGCCACACAGTATATAGGCAAAGTAAAGTCCGGCCAGGTCACACCACACAACGATGACGATACGATAACTTGTAAACACGCGATGATTGGTCCAAAAAATTGTGTTGGTGTCTACACTACAACGAAAACGACAAAATTATTGTTTGCCGATAACGATTTTAAAACGATTTTTAAATCGATGATTGATAAAACGATGATTATGATTATCGTTAAAACGAATCGATAACGACAATTTTTTATCAGTTGGACGATAACGATAAATTTTTTGACCAATCAGCACTCGTACACATGTTATCATTGTGTGGTGTGACCGGGCCTTACATGTAATAGAACTAATATCAAACCAGTTCAGACCGTGTAAAATTGATGGTGTATTTTGAAACTACACATCAAAATGTTAATGAAATACTTCATCGTTTCTTTTCACAGGAAATAAAGGACAACCTCCACAATCAGGGAAAGAAAGAAGTTCTGTAAGTGAGCTTTGCCGCATTAGTTGGTTGGTATATAAGTATTTATGAAATATTATAAGTTTCTTATACAGTATTATTATACATTGTAGTCACTACGTCAACGTGTCTTCTAATTGGCCAATAGCTTACAGCTGAATATGGAAATCACGCAACCTACACATAACATAGTTATTTACTACCAGATAACTGAGTTATTTGTAGCTTGAGCCCGCGGTTATTTTTCTAGAAATTAAAAAGTTTCATATTTCTCACCGCAGGAAGCATATTTAGCCAACACGGTCAGAAAACAGCTACCTGTCGAAGTGTGGATGTCATTCTCTGCTTTACAAGATTCTTCCAACAACCCTGAAAAATGTGGATCAGGTGCGTTTTGTTTTTTTAGTTCATTCATCTTTGAAATAGTCTGCGCAACACAGTACAAGCCAAGTACAAGTTAGATTTTCGCTTAGGAACTTGTGGTTTTAACACCTTAATTTTACCCTTTCGTTTTCCAATTCAAAACCTGTTCTAAGAATTTCATAATTCTTTCTAGAGTCGAATGGTAGCGCTATTACACAACATGTTCGAGAGTTAGTGAAAGAATGCATAGAACATGCAAATATCACAAATGAGACATCTGTTCAAGATGAAATATTTGATCAAGATGATACATCGCTTGAAAATAAAACAATTCGTGAAAAGAAATTATCCCTTGAAGATGTAACTCAACCAGAGGAGGAAGAGAAAGATGTTCAGGTAGAAAATGTATGCGAAGAATACAGGTTGTACAAAAAAAGTTCACTGTTGTAAATGGTCATTAAACTGAAAACTCCGCAAAATTTCTGAAGAACTTATGTGAATATGGTTCAAGAAGGCTGTTTTTAAAACCCCCATTAAAAGTGGCTTGCGCACAAGAATGGAAGGTTTAAAACACAATTTGAATTCATAGAGCGCAAGTTTAGAAAGTGCTTTATGAACCAAATGTTAAAGTACCAAATTTGACGTATATTTAGTCCAAAGTTTAAAAATTATGCAAGAAAAGTTTTAGAGGTCTTGCTGAAGACTTATAATACGTCATTATCTGGTACTTTGAGAGTTCATAAAACACTTTCCAAACCTGCACGTTATGAATTCAATCTGTGTTTGAAACAATGAAACCTTCCATTTTTGTGCGCAAGCCACTTTTATATTGTGATTTTTAAAACCAACCCTCCTGGATTCAAAAGTTGAAATTTTCATATTTCAGTATAAGACCCTGAAATTCCCATATTCACATAAATTCTTCGAAATTTTGCGACGTTTTAAAATAATACACCCTGCATATAATATGCACGCTATATAGGTAAATATATATATGCACTGCATGGGTGGGTTTTCATCGTTTACAATCTATAGAAATCATGACTTAATTGTGATAACTATATACTAAATGTAATTTTAACATTTTATAACAAGTTAGTACTATAGCAATTAAAATATCACGAATATCACGTGTTATACGAAGAAATAAACTGACGAAAACTGATATCTTTATGTTTATATATAGCTGAATGAAACTACGATACCTGCAGAAGGAAAAGGTACTACATTCTTATATATAGCATCTATTTCATAAGATAGCGAACCTTTAGATAGTGTACAAAAGAAATGAATTAATATATAAAAGTACCTCTGGAGTTCTAGATGTCGTCTTCGCTCTGTTTAAAATTACAGCAGACCAGTACATGGTCACGCTTTGTGTCCAACGCCTGATTTCAAGCTTCGAAAAGTGGTACTTGGCAAATTGACTTAATTAGTAAAGGTCTTGTCAACTATAAAGCCCCATCCTAAAACTGTATTGACTTCAATCATATGATTGATAATACAACTATACAAATGATCTGTAAAGTATATAATTAATTTTGACTGTCGTTGCGCGTTGCCGTCCTACAGTAAAGGTCCCTAATATAGCTTGCATGGGTGAGGGTTCAAGCTATAAACAGCAAAAGCTGAAAGGTGCCGCCTTAACTATACTGTTGATCCTTACAGACTCATCAAATACTGTAAGTATATTGTGTTAGTAATTGAATCAAACCTGTGTAAAGTGTATACCCTTTAATATGACATAAATTTTATATGCATGTGGACAAACTGCATGCGCCTGTCAGATGTGCCTGTTCTGTGGCCGAATTTTATTCATCAGCCGACAATCTTGTCGGCTTGATATGTGAACATTTTCGAGCAATTGCGTTTGAGCAAATTAGCCGACACTCAATTTTGACAATATGAAACATAGGCGGCCTAACTCAAAAAAATTTCTTCGGTGCCCCGGTTCCCTGTCGCAACTTGCAAGCTTCAAGTTTGGCCGCAGGGCCAACTGCGAATTTTTTTGGCTACCTGCAAAAAAATAAAATATACAGGCATGCATAACTGTGTTCAGTGATAGTACTTTTAGTTGAATTTCTCATTCAAAAGCTCAACAGTATTTTTATACATGGCCGGTTTTTTCGGATCTTAAAAGTTCTGTGTTTAATATAAGATTTACCTGTTCTGTAGTACATTTATACGACAATGAGAATAAAGACGATTCTGAGCTGCCGGAATTTTCAGCAGATGACAACATGATATCTAGGACAGAGAACGAAAGACTCGAAGCTTGGAAATTCTTTAGACTACGAAATCTTGAAGAACGTCCTGTCACTCAAACTCCGTACCCTACTGCAAGAGTAGAACCAGAAGGACACAAACACGATGTTTATACTAAGTCAGGAAAACGTATTTCATTTCCATTGCCTGGCTGGATGGAAGATTTTCAATCTAAAAACAGACCCAGGTCTAGTGGTACTAACAATCTTCGTTATGCAAGGTGTGTATGTTGGCTATTCATAAAAATAAAGGCTAATTACTTCTTCATTTTCTCAACTTTGAAAATTAGTTTCTCAACTAATTTCCCTACAAATAACTGGTGAGAATGATACGTCAGCTGCGAATAACTGGTGCAAACAATGATCTGAGCATGTGAACTTTTGAAATCAATTCTCAATTGCAAGATCGATCGATTTACGCATGCGTA